CATGAGTGCAAGCCGCGCGTGTCAGCAAAATGCATGCGCAGACAGCTCTATGCATGAGTCTACAGGGCGTGTTTGCTCATATTTGCAAAACGGTAGGGAAAGTAAGTGAATACCACCCCTGATTGTACAGCCATTTGTCTGAAATGGTAAAGACTCAAGCAGGAGGTTGGAACAGATGACCTCCAAAGTCATTTCTGACTATGTTATTCTATGTTTCTAATTTGGATCCTAACAAGCTAGGCATGGGCATAGCACTAAAGCATAAATGCTAAGGTGCTCAAACATCTCTTGTTAATAGCCCAAACTTAACACTACTTCAATTTGTATTGGAATCAGATTATGGCTTTGGCTAACGCTTTTGATTGTCATTGCTGTTGCTTGTGATTATGTTATTAAACTTTTGCAACTTAGCTCGGATGTGATGAGCCATGGCTATGCTTATGCCCTTAACTCAAAGGTACAACTCCTCCCATTTGGGGATGAGGGTAAAACAACAATCATTGATTGCCCAGTGTCTAAAGGTCTGATCATCAGAGATATTTCTAGTGGTTTTTAGCCCATCTTTCTGTTCAAGGATTCAGAGGACAAAATGATGATACCATCCTGTTGCTTCTATTCACTTGTCACTTAGGTTGAAGCAAGGCAGGTTTAAAAGCATAAAGCAGTTTCTGAAGTTTCTTGAACACCAGTTCATTTCTATTATGTATATTTCTACCCTATGTTTCCATCAAAAGTTACCCCAAAATGGTAAGATGAGATATAAAATTTAATAATGATAAAATTATTCAAAAGCACATAAAGTAATTTGGAGTAATTGAAATCAGCAACTGGGTTTGTGTATAATAGTGAGAGCAAAACAAACAAGCCACATTGCGGTTCAGCAAGTTGTGTGAACCCATACATTGCTGGTTACCCAATTAATAATGTAAAAAGTTTTTTTAGTGAACCATAAATTCAGTCAGTGGCTTTGCTGGTTTAAACTACCATATCTACAGAATCCTAGTTAAAATATTTAAGTTATTAAATGCTTTTAGCGTTCCTGAAGTAACATTTAGTATTTCAATATTTTTGAACAGCGACAATATTTTATCCTAAACTATCCTCATTTTACTCTTCTTCCCTTGTACATATTCAACCCTGAAGATGTAATCAACATTCTGTTAAGATAAATGGCAAAATTCTGATTTAATTTAATTTAATTAGTGCCACAAGCATAGATGTGATTAATCAACAAACCTTTAATCACATATTAAAATTGACCTTAATTAATCAGAGAGCTTTGTTACGAGCAAAGAGCAAGCATATGAAGTTTTTCACAGTTTCTGCCATGTTGGCCACCTTGATTAATTAACTTCCTGTGTTTCTCCTCACTTAGGATTTTATTAAAGCATATTTAGCACAGGGCTGCATGATAGAAATGGCATATAGCTGCTACTAATAACAATGGTCTTGACTTTAGTTGCCTCTTTCTCATCCTTAACTCTTAGTTTAACGTGCCTATGATCACTATGGCAACTAAATTGAAACTCCATTCCCAACTGCAGTATACCATTGAAGAGAGGCTATTGAAGACAGTCAACAGGGAGGGATTGTTACTTCCAGAGTGTGATTTTAAGATAAATCTGTCCATATTTGAAATGGAAGACTGTATTAAAGAATATCTGCATTAGTCCTGTAGGCATATATGTCTACATTCTTCCTTACACTCAGTGTGCTTTTTAGCTTGTGGTGAGAACTCTCAGACCTGGAAGCCATCTTTTACATTGGGCCTTCAGGCCTGCCACATTTTCTACTGTGGGAAAATGGGAGGGGGGATTATATGGCGTAAGGGTGAGATATAGTCAAAATAACATTCTTTTCTCAGAGTCAAGGACACCTTGCCCTGCAGCTGCGCTGATGTAACTGGGGGGCACCTTCAGTTTTGGATGGTACCTGATTGGACCATGTGATGGACATGTGGGTGCTGGGCTGGGACTTGAACTTCCTTTTGAGTGGCGAAAACCTGGAAACTTTCAGATTCAGGTTTTCCCAGATGTGTCAATAGGACATCTCTAATAAAATGGAACTTTGAGGAAACAAGCCTCGGAGTCTCCTTTCGTTAGGGGTGTTACTTATAACCCTGACAAGAACATTGATGGAGTATATCTTCCCAAACTCCCCAGGAGATATTCTCCAAAATGAGTATCACGAAAACTAGAAACTCAGCAGACAATGAAAATATTGCTCTTCTTACATTTTGAAGATTCCTCTCCTGAGTTATCCATTAAAAAGCTCTTCTTCCTTCACCTCGTCACCTCAGTAGACCTTAAGAGGCATTTTATCTCTGCCAGAACCCATGTTTATCTATTGGAATGAAGTCATTTAACTATCAAGTCAGACTGTTCCAGGGAGATGAGGCTTCATTCTTATCTCTCCCTGCAAGATTCTAAGGAATATTGACAGTCCCTTGAATTGAACAATATTCTTAGTTCCATTCAGTCAATTTTGAATCTTGTTCTACTGGGAACTCTCTATGGTCCTGAATCCCTGTTGTCTTGGTGTGTATCTTGGCTTTTAGTCTGGAGAAAAAGGTACCACCAGACATCAGAGAGGAGCCTCAACTGAGTGATTTCAAAGCTTGTGTCATTACATCATGTGATAGTATATAGCCAACTTTGGCTAATCTCAACAAAAGTTCAACACCAATAAATGAGAATATTGTAGCTCAGAGTTGAAATAAAGAGTCCTTGGTGCTCTCTGAGTTTGCTTGTTTTGCTAGTGCTGATGATATTATTTAGTTTAGGTATTAAAATGTCTGCAAGAAAACAATCGAGGTCAGAGAGCACCAATGACTCCTCAAAATTCAACACGGACAGAATTAGGTACCTGAGTGCTGGACTGGAAAACAGACAGAAAGATAAATTGGTAGATCTCTTTCAAGACATCCGTGGCAAACTATTGCTAGAAAAACATTTCAATGTAGTTACCAGGAGTCAAGGTGTTGAGGAAAATGCTAACCTTAATGAATGAAAAGTTTGTGACTTAATCAAAAGAGTATCATATTAAGAATGAGATAAATATAATGATAACAAACTTCCCAGCATGCTGCATGCCAGATAGGGCACTATAATTTCTGACATCCTAAATCCAACAGGATAGATTCTTGGATTTAAATTGGAAGGATCCAAATTCCAATTCCCCATTCGTTTCAATAACTCGTGGTAAGGTTCATATGTCAAATTAATTTACTAACATGGTTTGGCAAGTTTCAGTTAATATGTGAACTCTGCCATTGTGATTTGTAAACCATGGTTTATCACACTGTGTTGTGTAAATCACAGCAAATACAGATTAGTCAATACTGTACCTATGATTAAAGAAATTAACGGTTTGTGCAATGTGCTCATCTACCACTAGGTGTCCTTGGATGAGTAATTTTCAACCTAAACTTCTTTACAGTACAGGATTATATTAATGAAGATAAAATGGAGGGAGAAACGTAAAATGTACCAAATAAGATGTGATATTTTCAAATGCATGCTACTTATATTATATGATCTCTATTATCTTCTTTATTGGTTCATCATTACATTTAAAGTCAAAAATCCTAAATTTGTAAGAGGTGTGTGTGTTAAAAAGAATTTTCTGGAAATTGGCTTTTGTAATTTTTTAAAGAAGAAAAATATTAGTAGTTATGTCCAACAATAAATATGGAAAATGTGTCAAATCAGGCAGTAAAAGTATAGATAAAGGTTTCACCTGTCCAGTCATATCAGACTCTAGGGGGCAGTACTCATCTCTTTTTCTTAGCCAAGGAAGCCAGCTATTTCTGAAGATCCTTTCCATGGTCATGTGGCCAGATGGCTATACACCAAAGGTACATAGAGTGCTGTTACCTTCCCACTGAAATGGTACCCATTTATCTACTCACAGCTGCATATTTTCAAACTGCTAGGTTGGCAGGAGCTGGGGCAAGAAAGGGACCTCACCCCGTCATGTGGCATCCAGGTCTTCAACCTGGAAGCCTGGCATTTTAACCACTGAGCCATGATGCCCCCCCTCAAAAAAAATAGGCTGTACTTTATACAAATGTGCTTCTTATTCCACTGATTGCACTTCTAATAGTTACTTCTTATTTGCTTGTCCCTCTTTTTCCATTTAATATCTGCTTTTAAACCAGATTTTCAAATTTATTTTTCATTTTCAACATGTCCCATGCATATATTCAATAAAAATATTAATTACTAATAGTTTCAGGCATTAAAGGCCTGCTTTCCAATGATACTGTTTCGAAGTACTGTGAATTAATTCTGTTTTGCCTTTCCTTGCTTTTAAATATTTCAATATTTGAACTGGGTTTTAAAATGTGTACAATATTCTATGACTTTAATCAGTAGATTTTCATATTTGTCTTAGCATTTTGTGGTCTAGTTTGAAGTGTGTCTTGGTATCCAGTGTGGCTTACTTGACCTTTGCCTAATTTGCAACTCCCGCCCCCCATGTAGGAAGTTAGCACCCAGCCCTCTCCTAGAAAAATGAAATATCCTAGGAAATATTGAAAAGGCAGAATATTATATTCCTTGGATGTGAAAAGGAAGAAACATGTTTTAAAGACAGAGTAGCTCCCTGCAGCTTCCTGCTCTTTGTTAATGAGCCATTAAAGCCTGAGCTAGTGTACTTTACATAATAAGGGAAGGATTAGCCTTCCAGAGAAACTCACCACATGGCATCTGGAAACTCAAACTTGGCCCCATGGGAGTCTGACAACCAATCAGAATAAATTTCTTACACAAGAACAGAGAGGTGGGGCCGAACAGATTATAAAAAAACCCAGCAAGCACCTTCTTCATTCTCTGTCTTCTTCTTCACCCAACATTGAAGCATGNGAAAATGCAGCTTTCCTCCTCCAAGTTAGGGAGAGGTGGGGGGAACCTTCCACTCGGGTGGTTCGCGCCCTGTGGAAAGCTCCTCCGCTTGCCGCCTGGGCGAGCGAACACGCCGAGTTGTTACATCTGACTCACCTCGTGGAAGGCTATTCTGCTCGGTTTCTGTAGGTAGTTACTCAGCAATAAAGAGGTAAAATGCACTCTGCCCATGAACAGAGGAGCTGTTTTTATTCATTCGGAGAGTTTCCTACCCTTTCAATGTCCGCGTATGTCTCTGTGAGAACTAAACCTCCAGCTGCTCCGCTCACATCTTCAGCCTCATTTGCCGAAACCTTCCCATTGATAAAATGCTCGCTCGCTCGCTCTTCCATCAAACCCTGCAGAGGCTCAGTCCAATAACGCTGTTACTAAGAACTCGGGTCTTTGGAGTGTACCTATCTCCCTCTTCGTGGCAAACTTGCAACGCCGTTTTCCCGGCTCTCTTTAAGTACCCCAAACCTCATCGACTGCAAGGTGATCTGCAATACAAAATCCCCTTCCTCTAAAATACAAAAGCAGCCTCCCATACGGGTTAGCCTTGACCCTCCTCGGCTATGCTGATTTTTCTGACATGCAACTACTCCCTAAAGTGTAGAAACCCTGGGGTAAGAATAAGCGTGCACAGCAGACGTGAAAAATACTCCTCCAGCTGGGTCCTTCTCCCTTCCCATTTCTCTTTCTGGCAGGTGACGTGACGTGCGGGGGCGGGCAGGTCACTGGAGCAAGTTTGGAAAGTATTCCTTCCTTCCCCGTTTTTAGGCAGGAGGTGCCCCAGGGAAGGGTTTCAAGGCCGGCTTGGTGGCTGGCAGTGGCAGCAACAACAGCCGCCCACGCTCCCCATTAAAAGTACTCTTCCCCCGTATTCCTCGTCTCTTTTCAGCTCAGCGGTTGACTGACAGAAAGCCTTTCAAACGCCGCCCACGCACGCGCTTGCACAGAGACATACACAGACATGTTTCTCTGTAAAGCAAGGGAGATTATTTGGGGGGGGGGGGAGAAACCTGAATGAAATATTCAAGCAGCAGAAGTGTCCGGCAGCAAGGAAGAGCTTTGGGATTGCTGGGGGCAGAGGAAGAGACCCACTGGCTGTCCAGAGACCAATAGGGCTCTTCTTTTATTCCTGGAGAAATCAACAGCCTCTGAAGCCGTACATTTTTATGTTTTATTTTTTGCTCTGGGAAGAAACATGCATTGTGTTGTTGAGATAATCTAGCTATGTTGTTGCACTCAAGGACTGCAAAGCAAGAATGTCTGCAGAAAAGGTCAGGAGCTCTTCCTCTACATACAATTACTGGGAGAATGATGTGTAAAGCTACAAAACTCTGATAGCCAACAACCAGATTAAGGACTATCTCAGCCTCCCCACTCCAGCCTTCCCCCCACCCCAATTACTTACATGTTTCTTTCAGTGGCATGTCAAAAACCTTCCTGTGAGCATAGCAGGGATAGCAGTATGAATGGATAACTATGAACTAGGGAACTGCAAGAAGCATTCATGAGAGGCATATATACACGTATACATAGACACATTGGGTAGATTATATGAATAAATTATAATCTTTAATGTAACTTAATTTAAAACATCTTTTACACTTCTACATAGCACTGGACACACAAAAAGGACACACTTCAAAATTTATAAAAAGAGTAATTGGGTAAATTACTTCTCTAGGGTAGAAGTTTGATCTCAAGACCCCTTGACATTCTTAAACAAACAGCATCTCAAGGAGCTTTGGTTTATGTGGATTGTAGCTACTGATATTTGCTGCATTAGAAATTAAACTTAAGAAAATTCAAAATATTTATTCAATTGATTTTGTAGATTTCTTGAGTCATGGGGACCCCTACTTTAAGAATCACTGCTCTAGAGAAAAATAAAATTATCCCCAAATTTCTCAGCACTATAACTTTTCCTATGTACTAAGTTGCCTCGTTGTTTCCTTGGAATTTCAGTGACTTTTGGGAAGCTCTTGAGGAGAAGCCATGGTAGTTGTACATTTTCCACTTGTAATTAGACATCTGCAAGAAAAACTGCACTCTGACCACGAAAACACTGGAATTCTTATCTCTTTTGAAGGCAATATAAAGCAAATTCTCAACTGAGAATTTGGCAGGGGGAAAATGTTTACTTTGGAACACTTCTAATTATTCATTAGTTAAACATACCAGATAATATGTTAAACGCACCAGACAATATGAACATTAGTTAGAATAGAATCCATAAGATTGGGTTGTCACAGAAAAGCACATTTAAGTGAAAAGTTTATCAGCCACTTAGCAAAACATTTTCCCTTTTAACCGCTACAAACTCTGGTCAAAAGTAATTAGCATATATGAAAAAATAATAGAAAAAGAATGTACCTCCATAAATATTTCTAATGTATGTATTTCCCCATATTTTAGCAAAACAGCGCATTTATCTATGTCATTCTCCATACATTTGCTAATTTGTAACTACCAAAATAAATTTAAAAATATTTTAAATGTAAGGTGTTTAATGGATATGTACGAAATTAAAACCCACCCCTCTCCTAGAAAAATGAAATATCCTGGGAAATATTGAAAAGGCAGAATATTATATTTCCCTGGATCTTAAATGGGGAAACATGTTTTTATGCAGGAAGCAGACTCACTCTTAATGTCAACGGGCCATTAAAAAAGCCTGGGCCAGTCTATTCTACATAGCAAATATCTTCCCCCTTCAGCTCCAGGGTGATGGGATTAAGACATGATAGTATTAGCCCTTTACCCATCTGACCACAGGGCATCTGGGAAGAAGCAATGCTCCACCGAAGGCAGACACACAGCCTAGAAGTTGCCCCTGCATGGCCACATGGGAGTCTGACAACCAATCAAAATTCAAGATCAAAATCAAAGGCCAGAGGGGGCATAAAGCCAGGAACTTTCAGTTTTTCTTCTTCACCCAACACCTACAATACAATACAATACAATAGCAGAGTTGGAAGGGACCTTGGAGGTCTTCTAGTCCAACCCCCTGCCTAGGCAGGAAACCCTATACCATT